AGCACACTGGCCACCCTTGAAGCAGGACAAGGAGTGCCCTCAGAGGGAAAGCCACATAAACACAGCTCTCAACCAGGGCTGCTTTCTTCTCAAGGGTGGAGTTCCCACAGTTTTTGCCCACTAGTGATCACTCTCAAGGAACTGTAAAGTTTTTTAACAGTCCCCCCTGCTCCAGAGTTTATAATTATAGTTTTAGGAGTGTTAGTCTGACATACACTATCCCACCATTACCAGAAGCAGAACTTGCAATTCCATTATTGTCAGCTATGGTATAGCTCACCTAGCATTCTTCAGGATGCTCCTGGAAGGCTGCCTGGTGGAGGTGGCATGGGGCTGTACCATTCATTCATTTAAAAAGAACTTGATGACACTACTCAAGGACTTCAATGTTTATGGAGAAGACAGACCGATAATCACTGACAAGACAGTTTCAAGAACTCTGCCACCATGGCGGGGGGGGTGGGGGGGGGGCAGAGAAAGGCAGGGTCCTGAGAAGTGGGGCATTCTCAGAGGAGGTGGGAAGGAGCCAGGCTGGGGTGCCAGGTGCAGTGAGAAAACACTCCAGATTGAGGGCAGAGCTCGTACACAGGCCTCCAGGTAACCAAGCACAAGATCAAGTCTGGAAGCTGCAAGAAGCCCAGCCTGGCTGGAGTTTGGCATCTGGGGCAGAGTCAGATCATGGAGGCCTGTGTGACAGGCTAAGGAGTTCGATTTTTCTCCTGGGACAACGGGGAAAGGACGGAAGGGAACGACATGACACACAGACAGTGTGCTTGGCAAGCCACCTGCCTCCATTGGCAGTGAGCAATGACCATGTCCGTCATTCACGTTGGCTGGGTGCCTTCAGAGTGCCAGCAAGGAGGTCCCCAGGTGGGCCCATGGTAAGTGTACTGCCCAGTCACCCAGAAAACATTTGTAGGCTCACACTGAGCGCCATCTCTCGTGTGCAGATGGACATTCATGGAGAGTCTACCTGGGCCACACATGGGACTCACCGTGTCCCTGGCCGGCCCCAGCGCAGCTCACGTCATGGAGCGCTTGCCCCAAAGACCCAGCCCGTTTCCGTTCGTGCAGAAGGTCAGTACATACTGCGGCTGGATGTGAAGCGATGTGCAGGAAATGGGAGCCACGTTTACCAAGGCAACGTGAAGAAAACCCCGTGTCAGTCCGCGTGCGCTCACCGGCATTGATCGTGTGAGGGGCTGCTTTTACCAGGGCCCGGGCTGTGCTCCCCTGAGCTCCTGCTCCAGAAATGCTCTCCTGCTTGTCCTCGCCACGTGCTGCTTTCCCATTGAGCACCTGTGCCAGGGCTTCCTTCCGAGTCCTTTTCCAGGCCTTGCTCCCTGGCAGGCCTCCAGGATGGGTTTGCACAACGTCCTGTCTGTTAAAATACCTGCTTCCAGAATTCAAGGACTTGCCTCCCATCCTCTGGGGCAGTTCCCACACTGCCCTGGACAACCTCTCCCATTAACACAGTCTGAACGCTGCTGATTAGACTCAGCTAGGAAACGCACCTCTTCTTAAAAAGCTTGCTTGATCCTCACCCTGAGTCTTGCCAGAAGGCAAGCCTACTCCGCCTGCGAGAGAAGCCCTGGGTTTCAAAGCCCTGCATTCGTCCACCTGGGAAGAATCCCAGGGACAGTGAAGGGGCCGAATTCAGAGTGAGCAGCAGAGAGCTGACAGCCTGGTGGTTCTTGCGACGTGAACGGACTCCTCCCTCAGAATCTCCGTGCCCGCAGGCGCTGGGCACCCAGGGATGGCCCCGAACTGTCCCGTCAGAATGAAGCGCCCTAATGAGCGGATCCCAGCTGCACCTCCCCATGCTCCTCGCTCCGCTTCCCGCTCCCTCAGCTGGGCCAGGGGCCGCGGCCAGGAAACTCATCAGCCTCCTGGACACAGTAACAGGTGAGAAGCACCCGGAAGGAAACACCTGTCCGTGCGGGAGAAGAAATTAACGTGGGAAAGGTGGGGAGGGAAGCAGGAAGTGAGCCTATGAGCGTGCGTTTGTGGGCTGAGTTCTTACATCATAACTTGGAGTCCATTTGGAAAAGACACATCTTTTACAGAAACCGTAACGGAAATCCCATTCCCATTTGCTGAAGATGAAGCGCCCCAGGAGAGCCTGGCGTGGCTGGGCCCTCACTTCGGCCTGAGGGACGCCCTGAGGAGACCACAGGAGCAAGAAGTAAGCCTCCACGTGAGGTTTCGGATATCTGGGGATGCTCGTCATAGCAGCCAGCCAGGCCTCACCCACACCCCACCCTGCACTCACAGCCTGTTCAGATGGACATTCTGGCCTGGAGGTGGCCCTCCCCAAAGGGCTGCTGGCAGATCCTGGGCATCCTCGAGGGAGGGCTCTGTCCACAGGGGCCGTCTCTCCTCTGGCACCTTTTACAGGTCTGTGTACGGTTGGGCCCAGAGGAAGAAGGTTCCATGTGTCGGTACTGGGATCCTCAACCTGAGAAACTACAAAGCCAGGCCTGCAGGACACTCGGCACGGCTCACCAGACACCCGCCAAGCATCACACGCGTGCCCTCTGGTGTGTGAGCAGATGAGAGTGCTGGGTATTCATTATAAACCCACTCACTCACCCTAGCCTTCCTGCTATGGGGGCCAGATCTGGCCCCCTGCCTGTGTTTGTAAATAAAGTTTTATTAGCACACAGCCACACCCCTCTGTTTACATGTTGCCTATGTTAGCTTTCACACCTTAAAGACCTCAAAGGCAGCCGGCAAAGCCTCAACTACTTACTCTTTGCCTTTTACTGAAAATGTTCCCCCTGAGTCAGACCAACCTGTTCCCACCAGAGGTGACCTTTACCTAGAACAAGCACAAACCTTTAACTAGAACCGAATCACAATGGAAGGCTCACTCCCTTCCCAGTCTGTTCAATCCTGACAACATTTGGGCTAAGCTTCAGGCCCTGCTGTATCTATTTTTGTTGTTGTTGTTAATCCTCACCTGAGGATAATTTTCTGAGAGAGAGAGAGAGAGACTCATTGACTGGTTGCCTCCATATACTCCCTGACCAGGGCTGGGGATGGAACCTACAAGCCAAGTATGTGCCCTGGACCAGGATCTGAACCCCAGCCCCTTCCTTCAGTGTAGGCCACGCTCTATCCACTGAGCCACACGGCTGGGCGGGTCCTGCTGCGGACGCTTCAGGGTCGCTGCCCCTTCGAACACAGTCAGGCAGCTCTGGGCTGCGGTGGGCAGCAAGCAGCCGGCATTAGCACTTGCCCTGCCTGTGGCTGCTTCGCAGAAACGCCAGCTTCCCAGTGGTCGCCTACCAGGAAGTCTCCTTGTAGCATAAATTTATATGAACAAGCAATCACTAGAGAAAAATTTTTCACTAAATGACAAGTGATTATCAGATGCGGCGAGGGCCTGGTGGGTGGAGGGGCATGAACGCGGGGACACAGCCCTATTGCAGTGGCTGGGGTTGGCAGATGGGCCTGGAAGGCGGGAGTCCGGGGAAACTGCCCAGATTGAGGTTTCGATGGCCGAGTGCTTTGCCACGTCCTTACCTCCATTTCACAGCGACATCCCCAGTCGGGCCACTCCGGGGCAGGCAAAGGCCCGGAAGCCCCTGTCCCCACCTGGGGGCGGGGAAGGAGGGCCGGCTTTGTGCTGTGAGCTGGGAAACTCCTGTGTCACCGACTACCGCGCTCACAATTTCACACCGTGTGGGGTTTCCCCACTAAGCTGTTCTCTGTGACACCAGCTGGTGTCCTACAGTTTAACTCACTCCTGCCCCGACCTACCCAGT